ATCTGTCCACTGATGAAATTAAAAAACCCTAAAACACATACTTTCTCCGTTACATTATGTTGATACCATATCATTTTCCCAATTCCCGTTTATGGCACATACTTTTGTGGAGTCAATGTTGCATTTTGCTCAACCGCAAGGCTCCCTGGATTCTCTACACTTCGGCACATTTAGCACCTTCATGTTGAATGATGCCTAATGATGGCCCTCAGAGGAAACTTATTGCTTTGTCATGCCACCAAGACATGCATTTTCATGCAGGGTTGAACTAATTTTAACTTCAGATAAGTAGTTGTAATGGGAATCGAACCCATTGTTGTGAGTTTGCCAATGAGAACGAATAGTCAAGTTTACCCCGATCAGGCGAAATGAGTGCTTGATTCTGCCAAACCGTTTAACTGTACCTCTTATCTCAAAATATCAAGAGCAAATTTCATTTTTTTTTCGCTAGACACAGCTGAGCATATCTCTGGACTTGCAAAATTAGCATCATATATTGAATGTAAGACGACTAAAATTGAGTGATTCAATAGAACTTAGCATATTACCCATTACTCCATTGTTGCATAAGTAAAAACAGTACACCGGCAATAAAATTACATTAAATATGTGATGCAACAGAATCTGTTGTCTATAACAAAATGCCAGATTTGGAAGATAGTATTTTCTTTTTAGCTGGCGTTTGGTAGGCCCCAAGAAACGGAGCATCATGCAAAAAATCGCTATCATCTTTGCTAGCAATCTGACATACTTTATCAAAATTAGCATTCAATAGAGCTTCGTCATTGGAAGCGATTTCATCCTCAAGGAAGTCACTCAAAAGCAACTCTTCATTTTCTTTATCATACGATTTTACATGTTCTGAAGAAGCAATTTCATTGGTTGGCGTCTAAATAAAAGAAGGAAAGATAATAGTAATAAAAGTTAATTCTGATTTTAATTTAAATAAATAACACTATAAGCTAAGAGTATATAAAAAAACGAAAGCGTAGACAAATTTTATTCAAAATTTTGCTACTTTTGAGTGATTCGAATAGGCTAGAAAGGTTTTGGTGAAGGAAGAGATAAAAATGTAGATCGAGACTAATCATCAAAATAGTTACAAATATTTGGTATTAAATAAGAACTACCTTATTTTGAGTAGGCCACAAATTAGGCATCCTTTATCTGCTATTTTGTCCATTTTTGGAGGATCTTGATTCTGTGTATCCCAACTGACGATTTAATCTGTACTTGTCAACCACTTTAAATGTCAAGAAAAATGCTATTTAATTCAAATAAATTTATAAATCTTATTATAGTGAGGGCTAAGAATAATCAAACACATGAGTGTGAACTAAATTTATTCTCACTCTATATGTTTATCCGTCTTTTTAAAAGACTTTAAAGACCTTATGAACTTAAATCGCTAACTGTCCCTAAACAAATTGTCGATATATAGAAAAACTTGGTCTAGAAGAATCCCTTTAAAGATTAATGCTAGAGTATCTTTCATTTCATTAAATGAAGGATTCGTAAGTTTGCCTCACCGGAAGGTGACGTGAAATTGCCTCGGAGCTGCGACTAGATTTGTGCTAATAGGTCCTCCACGCACCGCCCTGCGACCCCGATGAATCTTTGCTGATCTTTTATTCGTGACGGACCTAGTCATAGAAAGCCACTATGCTTAACCCTAATTCAGTCTTCTTACAGTCCAATTGGGTCCACCTAATGAGGTACCTCATGTTTTGGTTGGATATCCTATGCTAAATGCGAACATATTTTGGTAAAGCAAGGCTATGCGAAATTCAATGGAAGCGTCAGCTCTACTCATATCACTGTGGGAAAATTCAACTACCCATCCTTCAACATCTTAAACGAAATAGGGTGAATACATCTCATGTAACTGATTTACTGATAGTCTCGAAACGTTACTTATTAACGAAAAATAAATGATGTAGTCGAAGTAAGTTTGCTTCCTCTACACTCTCACCAAAGAATATGATATAGGAAAATGTTTGGCCTTTCTTGAAGCTCACATATGCTCTGTAACCCAAGGACATTCGTGGAAATTTGGCATAGTGGATAACTTGTTGAGGTTACACGCCGAACTACCATGGTTCAACTCCAGTTGGGGGAGCCGATAAGACTTAGGCGAGGTCGAAATTGCAGTTCACTTTAGCCTGAATGAGATCAACCTTTGCTAAAGCAGAACTAAGTGAAATTCAATGTAAAAACTTCAGCTCTAAATATATGATTGCGGGGAAATTCAGCTATCAGTTCTTCATCACCTTAAAAGAAATAGGTTAAATGCATCTCCATTTCGAATGAAGGTGTTTGGTGAAGAGATTCTAAGTTCGATTCCACCAGAAGAGGACGGCGGATTCTTCTTGACTACCTGTCGATTGGCTCTACTGGAACATTCATGCTGACGCTGTCTCCAAGGTAATCTCCTTCGATTCCGGTGAAAAGGTGGTAAGCTTTTGGTCGTCATATGACGAACAACATCAGAGCAAGGTATCATCGTCACAACCAAATGCAAGCTAACAAGTCAAGAAAACTCAATAAATGTTCCAGTAAAGCAAATCGACAGCTGTTCAAGAGGAATCCGCTGTCGTCTTCTAATGGAATCGACCTACGAATATCTTCGCCAAACACTTTCACTCAAAATGGAAGTAAGCACAACAATTAAGAAACAAGAGATTCCTCAAAACTCATCTTTTATTCGCATAAACACATCTCATATAGGGATAATTCTGTTTGAGAATAATTACCCGCGAAGACTGTTTGACATTTATTTTAGAAAATTATCAAATAGGATGGGGCTAGATAAAAAGTTAGACCACTCTACCAGAATCCGTATGCTGCCATCGCGTAGTCTGCCGAAGCACTGAGGAACTTGGACATCAGGACCATGTATAAACAGAAAATGACATTTTCTTCGGCATTGCCTTCTTTTAGAGACTATTCTGATCCTCTCTCTAGATCGGGCCGATACAAGTTTTTTTTTCATGCAGTAGCGCCTATGTGGGAGAGACATGTGCGTTCATACATAGGAAGTTATCTGAACACAAAACAACCTGTAATGGTCTTTGGGTACAAAAATCAGAATTTGCCGAACACGTGGCTCGCACAGGACACGAGATAGACTGGTCTAATACCAAACGCTTAGCTGGATATGGGGACTATATCAACCAGTAATCGAAAGGTTATGGAGGCGATAGAAATCAAGAAAACAGCAAATACCCTGAATAGAAGGAGTGAGTATAGGAAGTTAGATAGGAGCTACTCGTGGTTATTGGATAGGGTTATAGAGAGAGGTGGGGACGAGAAATACCATCGAGCAAGAGGACGAGGTTTGATTAGGCTCGAATCCGGTTTTGGCTCCAACATCCCTCTCATTTTAAGAGCAATGCATTCACACATCATGCCTGAAGTGGAATGCAATCATATGTGGCAACATTGCAGGATCCAAGCTATAAAGGTTTTTGGAGAGGATTCAGCTGTTCGGTCACAATTACAACTGTTTTACTCCTCATCTGCAGCCACTTAACTTAACCTTTGAGCAGACATTTAGCCAAAACATGATATGCATCATAAAATCGACCAAATTGAACTATAAGAATTAGGTAGGTTTAAAGCCGGCAACCTTCCTTGTCTTCATGCTTCGGTGAATTATAGTAAGGCATGGTGTCCTGATCTGACGACGTCTGTCACATGACGGACGAAAGCGCAGCAAGGAATATTCGGGTTTGCTCAAATCTAGTCGTAGCTCTGGGATAATCCCACTTCACTTTCCGGTAGTGGACTTTAAACGGATTACCAGGTATATATTAAATCATCAGATGGAATTCACATAATTGAGTTCTTCCAAGAACCGAAACAAAATTTGCGGTCTAATCAAAATAAGGCTGTATTTCTTATTTAAAACCAAATATTTTGCCTTATGAATGGAACGTCTATATACGCACTGTGATATAGTTTTACATATTAAGTTGGGTTAAAGTTCAAAATAATTTAATATCCTACAATCATTGTATTATTGCTTATACTTAATCGTGTCAATTTTAACTTTACAAAGTTGTTTGGAGGTATAAAAAGGAATCTTCTTCAATCAATATGAGAGTTGAGGACTCGAAAGTGAACTGAAATCACTTCCAACAGCCTCACAATTTGTCTATTCTTGTGGATCTATCATTCCATTCACTCTTGTAGAGTGACATAATATAATAATTATTCATAAAAGTTTTCGGCTCACCGTATTCATTGCAATTT